GCCTGCATGGCCATGAACGTGCAGGGACGTGAAACCAGGGTCATTAGTCCAGTGAGTGAAAGACTCGATGTCAGGCTGGGCGAGGGCTGCGTCGATCCTTTGCTGGTTGCCGGCCGACCTGACAATGTCATCGTTGAGATCTCGTGGTAGGCAGCGAAGGTTGCGCTCGGTCCAGTTGCTTGGTACGCCGGTCAGGAGGAGGGAGGGTGGGAAGGGGCCGAAGGTGATGTTGGTGTATGCGAAGGGGCCCCTGTAAACGCAGCCACCTCCAGTGCCGCGGGGAAGGACACTTCCGTCTGGCAAAGAGTCGTTGGGTACAGAAGGGTCATAAATGCCGTTGCTGCCCAGGGAAGAGTTGCTGCCGCTGAACAGGGCGCTTGTTTCCAACGTTTTCCCATCTTCAACGTACAGCGGCCAATTCCAATATGGAACCCCAAGATAGGATGGATAGCTGCAATGCTCGTGCAGGGCCTTCTCAAGGATATGGATAAAATGCCGATGCCAGGAGTAGAAGATCCCGTTGAAGTGAATACGGAGAGTCATATTCACGTGGATTGCCGCAAAGTCGCTGTAAAACGACTGGCTGGCGGGGATCTCGGGCAGACGAGTCGGGAGTTCCTGGAGACACTTGATGCCGTTGATATAAGCATGGCGTTCCGCAACGGTTGAACTGCTCCATTCTTTGCGCTGAATCGCAGTCCTATGCGTGCATTTTGCATGACTGGGTAGGCTAGTGGCGAGGAATGGCGAGATAGCTAGGAAGATCAGGACGAAGAACATCATTGCGACCAAGCCTTCGTGAGCAGTCTACAACAAGAATTAGTTCGTGGGATGCTTGCTTCTCAGGTGGAATATACTTGAAGTAGAGTGGTCTCGATGACCAGGGCCAATCGTTCAACACGGTGCGCTCAAGATATCGCTTTCCGAGCTGGGTTGATTGAACCTAGATCGCCTCTACAAAAAATCCTTGGAGCAGTGTCTCGGTCGTTCGATATTTCGCTCTGTTCCCGAGTTTATTGTTCAAGCATGCAGATGCATGTGACTGCACAAGGCCAAGATGCCAGGCATATGTTGCATCGCCTGGTCAGGGGCAGGTCTCCCGTAGTGTCCTAGCAACATGAGGAGTCTCTACCGGCAGAGTCTACTGGCAGCACTTTCTCTTATGAGCAGTATGATGGAAGTGACGCATAGTCTCTGCGAGCAGCGCGGCGTCTGGCATCTACGCAACACGGCTCCTACTAATAGAACCCAGTAGAAGCTAGACACCCATTATGTGTTCTTCGCTTTTCTCACCGGGGTCTACTTCGTATATCTCGAGTCCGGTCACGAACCATTTACGAAGTAAGGACGGATTAGATATTGCAGCCTGGTGTTTGTTGACTCGAGGGGGGAATATCATTGGACAGGCCGTTGCACTTTATTTAGACTTTACCCCAGACTTCATTAGAGCAACAGGCTACTCGAACTAAAGCGTGCTCTCGTTCTCGCCGCTTTTATTAGGACCCTGTAAGCGTTGACCCACGCCCAGTAGCCAATTTACCGCCGTGGTCCCATCAAGCAAGGTACTTTAGTACTGTACTAGAATATCCAGAGCTTCGGAGATCACCCCAGAGCCATTCCGTGACTGAGGAACGAGCTCGAGGCTCTTGATGGCGTCCTCCGTTCCCTCGAGGCCTTTCCCGGCAGTAAGCCTAGCCTAGTTACCCCAAAGCCATCCCTAACCACTCCGCAACTCTCAGATCCTGGTCATTCCCTATGCTTTCTAAATCACCCGGGTCTACATCGTCGTCAGAGTCAAAAGTCTCAAGCCACTCGTGTAGAGAAATGCCCCTCTCGCTTGCTGGATATCCCTCGGAACGTAGCCAGGTGAAGATGCTTCGGGTCGCATTCTCAGACACAACCTCGTTCTCTGTGTCAAACTTGTTGTAATCCACCTCTAAGTCATGTATCCTACCAGATTCTGTCGGATATAGCCAAGCTTGAGAGCCGAATCCGGTGGTGCCCGGCTGAACGACGTCTCCACTGTTGCATTTCCATGCCCATCCGCTATAGAATAGCAGATGGTTGCACCTATAATGTAGCCTGACCTCGATGTCAGTATCTTCCACCCGGCTGGCTCCAAAAGGTGTCCATTGACAGGTTGGGACTCGGGAGTGCTGCTCGGTCTGGCGGAGGTATAGCAGCCTGCATTCGTCGGCACGTTGGATATGAGTAGAGCTATCGGAATCCGACTCGGCGTACGACGTCACTGGTTCCTGGATAAAGGAGTGTACGGATCCAGTCCATGCAGCAGAATGAAGCTCAACGGGTATTAAGCCGACTCGGGCCTCCGAAAACAGACTTTTATGGGCTCCTAACACTAAAGCACCGGCCCACAGGAATTCTAACTTTGGAGCCCGCGCCGAAAAAATTCTCAATAGGACAGCTTCGCTTTGGACGGAGTCCAGGACGGAAAATACTGATTGAATCCATGGGCTAACGGAATTACAGGGGACGGAAGGCTCGTAGAGCACACTCAATAATAGAGCCTTCAATCCTCTGATATTGCAACTAAGAGCAAGTAACTTATCAATATTGCAATCCTCCTGCGTCCAGTGAGTTCTGGGGCCTTCCTCTACGGTAGAGGTCGTTTTTGGAGGCACGAAATATCGTACGGCAGGAATAGGAAGTGTCACGCCTTTAGAACAGCACGGCAGATAGAGGGCCGCGGAGAGGGCTATGTCGCATAGGTGTGAAACCTGGTGGGCGGCACAATAGTCCAAGACGTATTGAAGGGAGGTATTGTATGATGGCGCGGGCGCGGGTTGAACGGGAGGAGTAGATATTATCGCCGCTGGCAGTGTCTTTGCATCAGCCGAACTGTGAGTGCTGACCGACCAAGGTGAGAAGTTCTTGGTCTCCCCAACATCGATAGTGGCCTCCCAGCCCCCACCAGGCTCAAGCAGAGCAGCCCACCACCTCAATGCGTCGCTGTCGACCTCTTCTGTGCTTTTGCAATTAGGTGTATTTGCGAATGGGGGATTATCGCCTGTTTGCTTTGTGAACGAAATTCGAGCCCCAGGCATAAGTTCGCTCCATCGCGTAGAGAGGATATATGCCCATGCAAAAAAGAGAACCGTCAGGTGGCTGCCATAGCCAGTGCCTTCTCTAACGTCGAATGGATATGAGGATAACGGCTCCAGGTAGACGTTCTTTGGTAGTCTTGAGCATATAGTGAAGTCGAGCTCCTTCTTAAGTGGCGGTAGAATGCAAGATCTGCTTGAGGTGTTCCAAGTCGAAATACCCCGAGCCACAAGGCCCCCATATTTTTCTTCCAAATCCAGGTCTCTTGGGAAATACGGATGATTGCATATTAATGCTTTGATGTTCTGGGTCGATAGTTGGGGGAGCGTGTCATCATCCGCGGCTATTAGGTGGAGGTTACGCCAGAGTCGGTAACCTTTTTCGAAGATGGACCTGCATGTATCTGGCGTAGGTCGCAGCACGTCCTTCTCCATCCTTTTGTCGAGCTAAAGTCGGTCTTCGATATACGGCGAACATAGGGGGAGCAGCGGCAGGAGATGAAGACGCCCGTTTGCTTAGCAGTTGTATGGCTGTGTTGGGGGTCGTTGGAAGTATTCCATCATCACATCAAGCCTTCAATACTATCTAAATATACCTGCGCAGATTAGAAGGAGTGAAAGATGTTGGTGGCCCGCTGGCTAAGGGAAACAGAGTAAAGCGGAAAGAGAAGTGTAGTACCTGTGTATTGAAGAGAAAATAAAAGAACAACTCATGCGAAACAGCTCTCAAAACCAAGGGAAACAACTGATCGCCTATGCTTCGAATGTGTCTTCCTTCTTACCGTCAGTAAAAACTGTCTCGCTCAGTATTCTTTCTCCCATGATTGAATCTGGCAGGAACCCTTATATGTAAGTGAGGGATATGTGGCTATGTAGTTCACGGCCGCGGCTCTTCCCGTGCGGCTTCCTGGATGTCCATTGCACTCCTCGCCAACACAGTACTGTCAGGGAAAAAGAGGCACAAGGTTCTGCCAGCCTGTTTCCCCTGGTCAATGCTTGTTAGTATTTATGCGATGATAGTATGAGCTATTATACTCCTGGAAAGTCCATGCTTATTCATGGCGTCGGTTAAGTCTGCGATCGTTTTATGATGATATTGGAAGCCCTTCTTGATGCCGTTTGATGGTTTCTTCTATGATCAAAAAGATGAAGGTAATTCTAGAAGTCTACGAAGTTTGTGGTAATCAAAAGTCCACACGAGTGAAAACGAAAAGTCCCTTGAAACCAGAAAGTCTATGACATTTATGGCATATTAGAAGTCCACGATCGCTATGGCATCGGAGGCCCATTGTGGTTGTGATATCGAATGCCCACACAAGCTATGGCAATGGAAACCCTTTTAGAACCGGAAAGTCGATGGGAAGTCGATTCATAGTAACAAAAGCCTACACGGGCTGTGGCACATGGGAAGTCTAGAGATGATGTGGCACGATGAAAGCCCACCAGAAATGTGGTAACGGAAGCGGACGAGGGCTGTAATATTGAAAGTCTACCAGAAGCTTACGGAAATGGTCGTTCCCAATGGGGTCGCTGCTGAGCCTTGAACCAGATTCCTTCACTGGTTAACAACGTTCACCCCAACACATTTAGCCGCTCGACTTCAATCCGCGAGTCGTTTGGGCAATGTTTTCCTCGAGCAAATTTCTTCTCTCAAAGAACAACACTCTCGCCTACCTTTTCCACTCAAACATTCCTGTTTCCCATTTTCCCATTTCCCTGTCTTTCTTTCAACATTCCATCAACATTCTTTGACTCAAAATCCCCGTTTCCAACTACCCACTAAGCATCCCTGTCTCCCCGGATTTATTTTTCTTTCTCTTTGGAGGACAACATTCCGTCACCAATCGCTGGGCACCTTTTCACTCAAAATCCCTGATTCCTATCACCCGTCGGTCCCTGTTTCCCTCTTATTCTCGGTGTCTACCATATCGCGTTAAGATGGACGAGATTAGCGAAGCGGCTCGCCAAATCTCGCTGGCCCTGAGAGTAAGTCCCCCATCCTCACAAACTTTGGCACTTAAGTCTTCTTTGTTTTCTGGAAGGCTCACACATTTGCAGAACGGTCGCCTCGACGAATAGGATCGCGAGGTGCTGCTTAATATTCAGCTCGTAAGTTTTCGGACCCTATCCTTTTCCCATTCGATTGGGCAGAACCTGATTTCCATACCATAGCAACTGGACCGACAATTCCCTGTGTGCGTAGTACACCTCGAACGGGTCCCTGCTAGGCACAGCTCTCGCTGTGCGACGCACTCCTCGCACTTCCTCTGCCATCCGTGCATGGAGATAGCATTCCGGAGTGTACCGTTCGGCCAGGTCACTCCAGAGTGTCCGGACCAATGTTGGCAGTATGGCAATCTCCCTGGCAACCCCCCTGTCCCAGGTGACATCAACAACCTGCCCCCGCATCTACGCGGTCGCCCTGCACCGGTCCCTGCCCAAGTCCCGGCGCGAGTCCCTGCCCAAGCCGCCCAACCTCGTCGTCTCGCACCAGCGCAGTGCGACCACTACTGGACAGAACGGTTGGAGGACCGCGTCTGCGACCTTTGCCACGACCGACTAGATCGTCTTGTTTGGCAATGTACAACTCAGAGGGGATGTGGTCTCAGGGTCTGCCTGGCTTGCCGCCGTGAGAACGGTTGGGCCCGTTGAGTTCCCTGTGCCCTTCGGGGTAGCTTTTTTAAAGTTAGTATATAAACTAATATAAACTACCTGTGTACTACTTCATTATTTGAGAAAGTTTACGCGCTTGTCTACCTCTTGTAAAAATGCTTCTCTATTATTGTGTTAGTGCGTAGGGCAACTCGCGTTCTGCGGGGCTACATCGTACAACACTGCCGCCAAGGAGGAAGCCTAAAGTGCGACATGACCGAACCTCCCTTACTCAGTTTTTCTATAGTATAACTTTAGAAGACGCCCTGCTATTCTAAAATAGGCCTATTTTGTAATAGTATTTTAGGAATTCCGTGACATCTAATAGTATTGAAACGGAGCAGTGCAGCCTGCCCGTACACCA